GGGGGGGGTGTCCCGGGCCTGACGTCAGAGAGTGGGGAGGAATAATTGCCTCTCTGGAGGTATGACGACTAGGTTTTTCTTCCTTCCACTTAGATTTTCCTCAAAGATAATTCTGTCTTCCTTGTTCACCATTTCTCTCTCCCTGCATCTCACTGCCATGAGAATATCAGCCCAGAGGAGGTCCAGATGCAGCCCTTTGTAATCCTTTCGGCTTACCTAGTCTCAGCAGAAAGTGATCACCTGCTGTTGTGTGTGGGTTTTTTGCCCTTTGTTAGATCTTGTTTGTGGTTTTTAGTGATTCAGTTCATTGTGATGGCAGCTTTTCATTTGAATACCCTTAAAGCCCAACAAGGGCTGATATCATACTGTTATTTTACACTGTTGGGCGAGATGCTTGGCTCCCCTGGAGCATCATCAGTTGCCAGTATTTCCTTTTGCTCACTCCCTGAAGATGTTTCTATGCCCTGGATTTCCCATATTTTGCTGGCCAAGGGTGGCAGCTCCCTTCCTCTGTGAACTTGCCTCTTGAATCCCAAATGATTTCTCAATTTGGAAAAAGCCACTAGGCCTTCTGGAACTAAGTGTGACTAGAGAGATGGCTGCAAAACTCTGTTCTGAGACTGAACAGACTCCCGAGCAGGCTCTGGGGTTCCCCAGGCCGTGTGGGCGCTGATCTTGTCGGGGTCTGCAGGCGTGCAGGTGGCCTCGGGGCTCAGTGGATGCGTTGTGCACCACAGCTGAGGGGAGGCACGGCGATTGCTCAGCCGCGTTTGCATAGGCTTCCAGTACTCTTAGGAGACAGTGTGGGTGCCAACCTCAGCCCCGCTGCTGCCTAACATGCTCATTTCCATTTCTTATGCTGCAGCCGTGCTTTAGGGGTACAGAATCAGTCAGCTCAGTGGTGAGGAGAGAAAGCAGTCTTTTGCCCCATTTCTTCATTTCTGGGGTGTGGGCTTTCAGTGGGAAATTGCTGACCCCTAATTGATAGAATGAGTCACTGGGGGAAGATGACTGATTTTTCCTCTGAGTGGAATGATGCTGGAGGGCTGGCTGGGACTGGGATGGGTAATGAAGGTTCGAGTTTGAATTAGTTCACAGCCGTAGAAAAGTAGGCATTGCACATAATTATGTGAAGCAGTTGTGGGAAACTTGAAAGAGGAAACCGAAGCCAGTATTTTAATAATTGCTTTTTCTGTGTATTTTCTATTGGGCTGGGGGATACCCTCCAAGGGGCAGCTTTTCCAGCTTTCAGTGAAAATCCCCAGGACCTTGTTTCTTTGGCCATTTCTATGGAAATGTGTTGTCAGAAGAATGGTAATGGTGCCCCCCAGTGGCTGCAAGACCTCACTGCACATCGCCTCCTGGAGCTTTTGTCCTCTGAGACGGGAGCAGAAAACTGCTGACTGCTCTCTTGACTTATCGACATCTACCATGTTGCATTCATGAAAAACTACACTGTGTGAGGCCCGTTCCAGGACATGGATATGACCACACCCTCTTTCACCAGGGTGTTTCTGTAGCAAGTTTTCATATTCTTTACAAACAATGGTTTCTCTGCGTTAATTGTTGAAGAGAAAAAAAAGAAATGGGGTAAGAAAACTACCCATGCATGATGTAGAGAGCTGTTGATTTGATTTTGTTTGTTTTTTTAAGGAAAACTATTTGTAAGATGTTGCACTAAAATGTTTTATATACACTTCAGAGACCTGTAGTAAATTATGTTGAAAATATGGCTGTTTGCATTGACTGGAGTCCGCTGTCCTTCTTTCTCCTCACATAATCAGTCACTCTCCTCTGTGGAACTTTGACCCAGGAGGCCTGGAGATCTGTCCCTGACACTGGCCTACTAGGCTCAAGGTTTGTAAATTGCAGCCCTTATCATCACGCCCCACCCCCAGCCTAAATGGTGCCTTTGTACAAAAGATGGAGAACACCCCTTACTCAAGACACTTTACTGCCACCTGCTGAAAGTGTATCCTAATAAACGTACACAGCTACCTGACTGTCAAGGCGTTGCTGTCCCTAGAATTGTGCAACACACAACACACCTGGAGGCCTGATAGGCAAGTTCAAAAGGCAGGGGTTATGACCGCTAGCTTTCTTTTTTAGGGGGGAGGGAATGGGCAGGATTGGGTGAGAGGAGACTGATGGAGAAGGAGAGCAGGAATATAGGACAACTTTCTCCTTGGTCTTGGCAGCAAGACCACACAATCTTTCTCAAACCGTGTAGTATTGCCCCGACTGTGAAATATTCAGCAAGCATTTCCAGAATGGAGGAAAGAGCAGGAGCTGTGCATTCCTGTTCCGTGAGACCATGCAACACACCAGTCTCTGTTCCCTGCACACCTCAACTGCTGGTGTGTTTGGGAGGAGTTCACCACATCTGCAAAGTGAGAAGCATGAGGGAACGATGAGAGCCGTAGCAGCGTGACATTAGTCAGAACCCATCTGTAATTCTTTAAAATTCACAGAAGAATATGCAAAAGGAACTAGACAGAGGGTAGAAAGCAGAAGGAGGTGCTTCCTTTTCTTTGTCTTTTTCAAACCCAAGCCTTTCAAAGGCTTGACTGTGTGTTTTCGTCAGCCCCATTTGCTGCATTCTTATCAACTTCGTGCAGCTGTTGGTTTGGCCCGGAGTTGATATGTGACCGTTTATCCCTTGGATACCCAGAATGGTTCCATGTTAAGTCATGTATTATTTTTGCCTGATTTTTTCCGAATGCTCTCTTTCTGCCAGGGAACATTTTGAAAAAGGAAATAGAGTGTTATGGAATAACATCACCCCTCCGTGCCCTGGAGCGAATATGCCCCGTGCTCATAAATGAAGTGAATACCTTTCCACAGGAGGCAAGGATGATTTTCATGTATGTGGGCTTAGGAGCAGTGTTTTGCTCTCTCTGTGCTCAGATTCCTACGCTTCCTGGGGGTGGTTCCAGGGTTGGCAAGAAGTAGAGCCAGAGAACCAGAAACTGGCATGCCAGGAAGAGCAGCAGCCCCATGCCACGTGAGCAGGCTGAATGAGGCCTTCTTTCTTACCTGCTAGTCCGTGATTATCTACGGTGACAAGCAGATAAAACTGGCTGTCTCAACACTGGTCACAGGATGAAAAATGGGACAGCTCTCCTTTTGGTGGTAAGTTCCCAGTATATGAAAGGAACGTTTTGGCTGTCTGCCTAACGCACTGCGGGTCCAGCCTTTGTGAGCCACTTTTGATTCATGAAGTCTGCTAAACTAAGGCATATAAGCGTTTCTAAAAATGCTTGATGGAAGCACAGCATTTCTCTTAATGAAAGAGCTGGCACTGCTTGCTGGTTAGAGAAGCATCCAACCAAGGAAGACCTAATGACTCATTCCTCCCCCAGCGGCTGGACACCATGGCCTGGGTGGTACTTCCCAGCCACAAGTGACTGGGCAGTCCTCTCCTCAGCCCTCCTCTTGATGGGGTTGGCAGCTCCTGCTGGTCAATCCAAACTGCAGCATGGGTGCTGCTCCAAAATATGCATCCTACTCCTGTATGAAAGGTAAGCATGGCGTTTTGGACTTGACCTTATTTGGACTCCCAGTTCTGCCCATTACAGTGTGTCCTTGGGCAAGTCATTTACCTTCTCTGAGTCTGTTTCCTCATCTGTAAAAACAGGGACAATAAGGTTAAATTAATCCAGTTAATGCACTTAACACAGGGCCTGGCTCATAGTAAGTGCTCAACAGATGTTTGCTGTTATGTCACTTCCCAGTTCAAAAACTTTCAGGGGCTCCCACTGTCTAAAGGTCTCACCCCACCCATCCTTCCTTTCCAAGTCGACCTGAGTTCCTACCAGCCCGGGGCAGAGGAGACACTTGATTTCTCACATTTTGCGCTACCTGCTGCACCTGCCTGTGTTCCCAGTGTCTATAGGTGATGGGGAATGTCTCAAGGTAGCAGGCTTCATGGTGCAGGACATTGGTCCCAGAAATTTCACTGATAGAGATTCCTATTAAAATTTTATGGCCAATTTAAATAATTCATGAATTCTGACAGTATGGGTCAAATGTCTTGAGTGGTTTGGGAGGAAGGAGATGACAGCAACAAGAAAGCTCATTTCCACTCACTTTCATGCTGGTGTTTATTAAGACAACAGGGAATCCTGCTCATGGGAAGACGATCACTAAGAGTTCCCTCCACCCCACAGCTGGGCAGGGGCAATCCTGGCGCTTCTCTTTGAAAGAAAGGAGGCAGACAGGGAGTAATTTGGTCTGGGATCTGATGCATTTGAGGGGAGGGCAAGCCCATCAAGAAGACTAACCCGGCAGATGGAGAGTTCCAAGTGCCTGTTGCAGCTTGGGCGACAGAGATGTGGGGAGGCCAAAAACGGTAAGGGAGTGAAGGGACCTGACAACTCAGCCTGAGGGAAAGTCCATGGTTGAGAGGAAGAGGAAAACGGGAAACTTGAGATGGAAGAAATCACAGGCTGGAAATTCCAGCTCCGGTTTGAGGGAGCTATGGGGGTGGGGGCGAGGCATATGAGCTGGTGTGCACTTGAATGAGGAAAGACAAGGTCTTGGGGCGGGGGCGCTGCACCGGGCAATCCCACACATTCTAGGGGTTGTCTAAAATGTTCCGTTTCCGGTTGTTTTAATATTTGAGGAAAGAGTGGTTCAAAGAGACTGTCTAGTCCGGGGTCCCTATAGCTGAGCAACATGCAGGAAAAGCAAGCTCTGTGCCGTTTCTAGAAAGCGCTGGAAGAATACAAGACTTCGGAGCCTCCCTGGCCCTTGGCAGGGTTCTCCTGTCACTTCGGGGGCCAGCCAAAGTGGCGCGCACTTCCGGGGAGCAACAGCCTCCGTCCCCACTTCCCAACAGACACCCTAGCGACGGAGCTGCCTCCAGCACTTTGCAAACGTCAAAAAAAGTGCGGGAGGAACGAAGAGGAACTCGTTTTTAAAAACGCATGCGCTTTTAGGGGAGAGCTCCACGGAGCAGAGGCTGGGCGGCGGGGTGGCCGGAGGCACAGGGCCGGGGGACCGGCCTGTGTTCCGGGGAAGGAGGAAGGAGCGGGCAGACACCGGGCCAAGGAGCGATGAACTCAGTGGCTGCTTTCCCGGGAAAGAAGCTGCGCTGGGGGCGGGCCGGGCACAGAGGAGCGGGGCGGGGGGTCGGGTCGGGGCGGGGCGGGCCGGGCAAGGAGGAGCGGGGCGGGGCCTCCGGGGCGGGGCGGTGCCGAGAACTGAGGGTGCGTCGGTTCGGCCGGGGCCGCGGGGCTCAGAGGCCGCCCGACGCGCCATGGCCGCAGCGAGCGCCCCTGGGCTGGCCGCGGGGGTCCTCGGCGCGTTCTGCCTGGTGCTCTGGTTCGGTGAGTGGAGGCCCTCTCCGGGGTCCCCGGGGGTGACCGTGACCCGAGGGCTCCTGGGTGGAAGGGCGGGGCTCGAGGAGGTCGCGAGCTGGGTTGGGCGGCAGTAGGAACGCGGCCGGCGGGCCCTTGTCGGGGAGAGAAAGTCGTCAGCTCGTCCCCGAGTCTCCCTTGGGCGATCGGGAAGAGACTGAGCGGAGGCGCCGGAGTCGTGTTCCGGGACAAGAGCGCGGGGCTGCAGCGCGCTCCCTGTCCTGCGCCGTTTCCTCTCTGGGAATGCCTCCTGCCCACTTCCCAGCGCGCCCTCTCACCCCCGCCCAGTGTTCTCCGGAAGGGTGCGCCTGTTCCGTGAGACTCCTGGGCCTGCTAAGTTACTTCTCGGGCCTCCCGAGCGACTATCGGGCGGACCTTATCGCTGCCTCCTCGGCTTGTGACCTCGCCGGACCCGGGGTCTGGGCAGCTGGTCGCCAGCGCGTCGGTCCTCCCCGCCGGGAGGGCCAGCTCCCAGAGCCAGGGATTTCCAGCCTCGCCGCTGCGGGCCTTCTCCGCAGGCGAAGACGCGTTTCAGGATTGCCCCGCAGCTGGACGGGGAAAGGAGCGGGAGAGAAGGGTCGGAGGCGGCGGTGGCCTCGCTTCGGGATCCCTAAGTAGTGCGGCAACTGCTTCTTCCCCCTCCCTTCCAAACAGAAAAGAACTAACATGTGAGTGTGTAGAACTGACTTCATCCCTCACACTTCTTAAGCTAAATCGTCACAACAACCTCATGCGATAGGTATCTGTCTCCATTTTTACCTCCCCACCCTCAAAGACCCCTCCACACACAGGCCCCTAGTTAAGTCCTAGCCAAACCCTTGGAGCGCAGCAGTAACCCCCTTACCTAGTTCTCCTTTCCTTGGGTGTTTCCCATTGGCCCCCTTGCACATACTACCAGACGTATCTTCCTTCTCCATTCTGCATTCAGCGTTTATTGAGTGCCTGTGGGGTACATACATCATGGAGAACAGCTGGGGTGGGGGTGGGGGGGTGTTGAGTTATGCTCAAAAATACCTCCCTTGTAATGCACACAAGTTAAGTGCGGTAAGAGAGGTTAAACGAAGTGCTCTGGGCCTGCAGAGGGAAGAAAGCAATACCTTTGGACGAATGCAAATATCTTTTGTGAAGCAAAGACTTTACAGAGGGAGGGTATTTGAACCCAGCCTCCCAGGACAGGTGGTTTGTGGACACACTGTGATGTGGGAAAAGACTCCAAGAGGAGGAGAGGAGGAGATCAGGTCCAAAAGACGGGGGCAGCAGGGTACAGGGTGAGCCTGGGGCCATAGGGAGTCCTTCAGTGTCACTGGAGAGTAGTGTGCCCACAGGAGCTTGAGGCCCCGGGTGGAGCCCTGAAGGTCCCCTTTGGGAGTTTAGATGCTCTTCTGCGGGCAAGGAGAACTGTTTCCGGATCAGAGCATCCGTTTAGGAAGAGTCATCTGACCGCAGTAAAGAGGGAGGATTCCAGTCGAGAGGCATTGGAAGCAGAGAGGCGAGGGCAGACTCCCGTCACGGGGCCCAAAGAGCTGGGAGGTTTCATATGCTGGTGGCTGTGGGAAAGGGTGAGAAAGACATGCAGAGGTTGAATGGCTGGGCTCTCTCTCCTCCAGATGAGCTGGTCTCCCTCTGGTCCCAGAATGCACCTGTTGTCACTGCTGCCTGTACCTGTGCCCTGTCTTCCACTGAAAACCCAGTTTAGCCCTCCAGCCCCACCTCCTCCAGGAAGATTCTCTGAACGGTCTCCTCTTGGTGTCTCTCTCACCACTCATGTATTCATTCAGAGCTCATTTCATTCAGCAAGCGTGAATACACCTGCTCTGAATAGGCCCTGCGCTAAGGACAAGGCTGAATGAATGGTGCAGCCCTTTGCAAGGTGAACCCTTTGGGGGCTGAGCCTGCTTCACTAGGGAAGCTGCCTAACACGGACTAACAGCATCAGCTCGAGTCAGATGCCTGGCTTCAGACCCTGGCCCTGCCCCTCGTCTCAGTTAGGAACTTCTGTAGGTTACTTAACTTCCATATGTCTCAGTATCTTTGCCTTTGAAGAGAGAGAGAGCCACTCACGTGAAAGGATAAAATAGTATCTCATCATAGAATGACTATGAACATCAATCGTTCACCAAATACTTACCGAGCGTCAGCTCTGTGTCAGGCACGGTACAAGGGCCTGGGGATACAAGGAACAGACTCTTCCCGGCCTCTCTGCAGCTCACATTACAGTGGGGGAGAGAAATGGTAAATAAATAAATGAGGAAATATGTAGACGGGTGGTGGTAAAGAAAACATTTGCTAATACAGAGATTAGTAAGGCAGGAAAGGGGAGTGGGAGTGGTTAATATTTATTCTGAATTTTTTAAAACTTTGCAACATATAGAATCTTTAGAATAGTTGCAAAAATAGTACAATGAACGCTTACACACTTTTCTCCTTGAATCACCAGTTATCATTTTGTCATATATGGTTTACTTCTCTCTCATACACATGCTTACATTTTATTTTATTTTATTTTTTTTGCTAAACCACTTGAGAGTTGCAGATTTTATCATGCCTTACTCCTAAATATTTCAAATATCTCTTCTAAGAATAATAAGTCTCTAGTAAGCCACAGACCGGTTAACACAGTCAGGAAATACAGCGTTGTTACAGTACTCTTTTCTGACAGACCAGAAGCCAATCCTGGATCACATCCTGCATTTAGTAGTGTGCCTCCTAACCTCCTTTCATCTAAAACTGTTGCCAATTTTGTTTCATTTTGTGCTTTATGACATGGCTGTGTTTGAAGGGTCTGGGTCAGTTGTTTGCTGCGATGTCCCTCTGTTTGGATTGTCCCTTTCCTCATGATTAGATTCTGGTTAACACTTCCAAGGGCAGGACTTTTTCATGGGTGTGTGTGTCCTCAGTGCATCTCCTTGGGGGCAGATGCAGCCCCTTTGTCCCATGACTGGAGTCGTTAACTCCTGTTGTTTGCTTAAGATGAGGTTTGCCAGATTGTTCCAGGGTAGAAGTACCTTACTCCTGTGTAAATAATCTGTGATTTTTTTTTAAGTGACACTGAGATTGTGTGACAATCTTGTTCTCCAACAATCTTCCACCCACTGTTTTAGCATCCAGTGGTGATTCTTCCCTGAGTCCATTATCACCAAAATATTTGTAGATGGCATTTTTTCCCCTACATTATTGACATTCTTTAGTAATGAGCTTTCGCACCTCTCTTTTTAATTTTATTATTTTAGTCCTAGGATGGACTCATGGATATTTTTAAGATGGCGTTCCTGTGATTATCCATTTTGATGCTCAGTGACGCTAAATTTGGCAAAGAGGAGCCTCTCCAACCTTCAGTGTCCTTTTGCCATTTTTCTATCAGTTTTTGAGCACTCCCTTACTTTCCAGCACTGAAGATGTTCTGGACTCATTTTGTACCTTTCCTGCCTCCGCCTTGGACTCATTAGACTCCCTTTTTCCTTTTTGTGGGGGATGGTATTTAAAAAGCAAGATCTGCGTGCTAGGTGTGCTCGAGGCTGCTGGAGTCTTGCCTTCTAGGGCCTTTCGGTTTTCAGAGCTAGGAAATGGAGTTTTCATAAAGTTGAGAGTTTATCTTGTTATCACTAAGGCTAACCCAACAACCTGGTTCTTCGTCCCCTTCCTTCATTCCGTATTTGTAGCTCCCTTCTCCACAGTGAGAGCTCTGTTCTTATTAGCACCAGCGTATTTTCCTAATGGACATTAAACACAAAATAGTTTCATAATTGCTATACCAGTACCACGACCAAGCACAACCTTCACTAAATATAGTTCAAGATTTCTTTGCAGTTCTTTTTATTCTTCCATATATCCCACTGACTATGCATAGAATACTGTATTCTAAAGTTACTCGGATTAATTTTTTTCTCCTGTGTGGTTTGCAATTTGATATTTATTGCATTAATTTGTTTCTGTTTCTATTCAATTTTAGGGGTTTTCCCCCTCGATTTAATTTTTAAATGTGTAAAATATTAACATGGTTCAAATCAAAACTATATAAAAAATATGCTCAGAGAAATCCTATTCCTTCCCTCCTCCCCCCATAAGATGTAATTTGTTTCTGTTTTATCTTTCTTGTTTCTTTTTGTATATATAAACAGATACTATGTTTTTTCTAACTCCCTTTGTTAAACAACAGGTAACATTATGTAATTCTTTTGTACCTTGCTTTTGTCAATTAACCGTCTGGAAAATCATTCATATGAGTCATAGAGATCATCCTCATTCTTTTTTAGAGCTCTATGGTACTCCATGGGATGAAGGAATGATATTTCATTCAGCCTCCCTCTGGTGGTTAGTATTTTATATAGTGGTCAGGGGCGGTCTCTTTAAAAGTGTGACCATTGAGTGTAGACTTAAGAACGTGAGGGAGCAGCCCAGGTGACTGTCTGAGGGAGTGGTACTCCAGGCAGAGAGGATGGCATCAAAAGCCTTGAGATAGGCGTCACGCATTCAAGGAAATTCCAGGAGAAATGATGTTGTAAAAGGAGTCAGGGCTGGAGCCGAGAGAGAAAGTTTTGTGGGCCCGTTAAACAACAGACTTTTTCATTTCCAGTGAAATGGGAAGTTTTGGAGAGCTTAGAACAGGAGGGAAATTATGACAGCTTGAGTGTTTACATGAATTATTTTGGCTGCTGGATGGAGCATGTCTGTAGAGGGGACAAAGGAGAAGCAGGGACACCAGTTAGGAGGCTGCAGGAGCAATGCGGGTGAGAAATGACTAGGTAAGAAGGGGAGGAGGTGAGAAATGGGAGATGTGCGCTGTGTTTTGAAGGTGGAGCCGGCAGGATTGGGCTCTGGGTTGCTTCAGTGGGATAACATGTGCTCAGGACCCAGGTGGTGCTGGGCAAGTAGCAAGCTCAAAAAAAGGAACTGTGGCATTAGTTAGCTCTTTGTAGCAGAGCCTGCCTTATTGTGCTGCTGTTGACCTTTAGTAGACCCTTCATCTTGCC